TCAGGTTTTGATTGAAGATTAACAAGCTCAAGAATTGAGTTCTGAACTTAGGTTGCCTCTATCTTTTTTTTATGGCCTATCTTTATACTCTTGATCAACCAGCTCATAAATTCTACTACTTTCATAGCCTCCCATAGATAGTCACGTGGATTCGCACTATACTGAAGAACCAAAACAGTAAAAGGAAAAGTAGATGTTGATTGAGACACAGACCCTCTATACTTCTTCTAGCTCTGCTTGTGACAACCTTTGGCCCCCCTCCAATGTTTGTAAAGTTTTGGTGCTTCCTTTGTTTTAATATTGGCAGAAACCTTCTTAGTGAGGCTGGTATTATTTTGGTCATGTCTCCACCAGCCCCCCTTTTTCCGTGCGTATGCACGGGTACTGTACTAGTTCTAGATCGAAATTAATGAGCAACAAAACATTAATGTACAGGAGAAATGGAGAATCAGAGGCCGTTTGGAACCACTGTTTTTCGGCTTATCAGGCTTCAGCCAACTTTTTCACCAAACGCGTAACTTTTGTTTTCGCGCGTTGAATTGTGTAATAAGCATAAAAAGTAAGGTTGGAGTTACTTTTCTGGCTGTTTTGGTTGAAGTTACTGTAGATGATCATTTAAGCTATTTTTACATATAATTTTTTCTTTATTTTATTAATGAAATATATTTTAAAAATATTTCTTTCTTAAATCAGCAGAATAAGTCAATGCAGCCACTTCAGCCATAACTTCATAAATTTCAACAGAATCAGCCAAATCAGCCGATTTTTGTGCTACCAAACGGGCTGTCAATGTATCCGATGCTGAGAAACTCAACATGGAGAAGCCAAACATTAATTGGTGCCTAGGGAAATCATACACCATCCGTGTGTAATAATTAATACACCCAATCAGAAAATTTTCTTTAGATGTATGTATCTGATCAGTTAAGCATCATTATTGGGCTCATTGTATTTTAAACCACTTTGCCGATACATCTATCTGAATTTGAATTTGTTCATCGGTAATTCTAAATACAAACCGTTTTTTGCTAAACACAGCCCAAAATTAACTGATTTTCCAAACTTACCCTTAAAACTTCTTGAAAACAATTGGAGGTCTGGAAAACAGAGAATTTTATATCCGACAGGCCGTCATCTTCATTTATGAAGTCATACATTTACTCCAAACTACCAATTACATTGATGCATTCATCGTGAAGATGTCTTCTGGGAGTGGTGGAGCGCCGCCAACGCCGTCAAAGGAACCCGAACTTGGAGGTGCTGCCGCCATGGCTAGGTGAAATTTCATGGCGGCATCTTCGTCAGGGTCAGATTTTAAGAGAGCCCGGGAAGCTGCGGAGGAAGAGGATGCGGTGGAGGAAGAAGCCAGTTTTGGGTGTCCGGCGGCGGGGATGGAGAATATATGGAGGAAGAAGATGATGACAAGCATGGAAAGTAATCAACAGGGTGGAGGAAAATCATGATGATCTATAGAAGTGAGATGGGAATTTTCTTCATCTTATTGATCTACACATTGGAGCCAGATCTCCATCGGAAAGATTTTGATTACCTCCTTGGTTGCCTTGGATGTATATTACTTATATTAGCTCTTATTTTCTCTTGAATTGGAAGTCAAATTTCAGTTCATAAACTAAGAGAAATAGTTGTACGATTATGTTAGCAACCTTGTCGGGCGAGCTGGAGCTGTGTGCGGATAATTAAGGAAGGGGATATGGAAGCAACTTAGGAGATGATGGAAGTACTCCGTATTACTCTTGAGAATTTAGACAGCCACCAAGCCTAAGGGTAAGTTTGGAAAATTAATTAACTTGGGCTGTGATCAGCAAAAAACGGGATGTGTTTAGAATTACCCCTGTTCATTTAATATTGTAGTAATCCCGTGAACGGCAATACATGGTTCTACGCTGCACCATTTTAGGCGGGAACTTGTTTGCTCTGCAAGATTTCTTTTGTTATTATATTAAGATAGATGTTGAGCTCGACTTTATACCAAAACGACAGTGACGGACCTACAATTTTTCTCAAGCTGGGACAACGCTGTATGGAGAGAGACTAGTCGAGTCGGATGTAAGACAAATCTATTTCGTCTAGCCCGCACATTTAGACAATTCTAAGCAGCAATATTGATTTTTTTTTAAAGAAAAACATGATATGGATCATTTCTATTTTTACATGATATGGTCTGGTTTGAATCATCCTTGCATCATTTCTATTTTTGCATAAGAATTCTAGCTATTTTTATACTACAAATAATCAGAATTTCAATTTAAAAGTATAATCGTGCTCAACGTTACACACTGTGTCACAAAATTACCGGGTCCAAAAATGAAGTATAATGGTGGTGGTGGTGGTGATTGATGATGATAGACAGCTCCAAAGTGGTGACAATTTGTTATTGGATAAGGAACACATCTAGAACAATGATTCATATCTTCCATGTTAAGAATGTTAACTTTGTTCTTTTTTTTTGTTGAGAAAATGTTAACTTTGTTCTTAAGTAACAAAAGAATTATTGACATCTTTTAAGAAATCTTCTAATCCACTTTCTCTCAAAACTTGAAATTTACATTTTGTGTTCTTAATCTAGATCACAGCCTCAAGAATATATTTTAAGAAATGTGACAACATATTCGTCAATTACAATACTCACTACAAGAAAAGTGCACATAGACCGCACATAGACCATTTTTTTGCGATGGTTGCATAACTGTCGTTAAAAACACTATTAACCACAATTTTTTTTATTTACCACATACAAAACAGTGGTAAAAGGTCAGAGACGATAGTTTTTAATCGTGGCCAATGTTTTTACCACGGCTGTTGTGGCGACGCACGTAAAACTGACGCAAAACTGTCGTAAATGTTCCTCCTTATGTTTTTACGACAGTTTTGCGACAGTTTTACGTGTGTCGGCACAACAGCTGTGGTAAAAAAAATTGGTCACGGTTAAAAACTGTCGTCTCTAAGCTTTTACCACATTTTTGTGTGTGGTAAATAAAAAATGTGTGGTTAATGGTGTTTTTAACGACAGTTATGCTGCCATCGCAAAAAAAAATCGTGGTCTATGTGCAGTCTATGTACAATTTTTTTGTAGTGACTTTTTCATCAACTACGCAATGAAAACATCATGATAACCCTATATTTTAAATCACTTTCATCATCAAATATACTCCTTCTGTCCCATTAGAAGGTTCCCGTCCACTATTCGTATGGTCAATTTAAATCATTTTTAATCTTTTGCTTTATATATATCAATTTTTTTTTATCAAATTTACATTTTTTATCAAGATTTATAGCGGTTTTAATGTGGTTTCTGAATATGTAATTTTTGTATGTTTTTTATTTATATTTTATTTATATTTTTTAATATATAATTTTTATTTTACTAATTTTGTTATTTTTATTAATTTTATTAAATATTTATTTTAGTCCAAAAAGCTACATGTGTATATTTGTTCAAAGTTCAAACACACATAATTAGTTCTAGTGGGGAATTTAAAATAATGTAGTTATATTTGTGATTTTTAACTACCTTTTACTCATAGTTAAGTAATTCACTCTTATTATTACTTTATTTATGGTTGACCGGTTTTATGGCATTGACCCAACCGGGTCCAAGCCTCCAAGGTGATCCGTGACCCGATAATGTGGTCGGGTCAATTTCCAGTATGGTTTCTTAAACATAGCTTTTTAATCCATCGATCCGTATCATACCATAGTACTCCCTCCGATTTTAAAGGGAAAAGGGGCAAATAAGGTCATGTACTAAATAAAGTACATTTGGGGTGGTTCTCGGTGGAATTTTTTGATGAATTTTTTTGACCATCTTATTCAGTAATTCTAGTTTACTCATACCAAATTTCAGCTAACAATTCAATCGGAAAGGCATTCAAATGAATTCTTGAAGATAATTGCGCAGTTATCTTCAAGAATTCATTGGAATGCCTTTCCGATTGAATTGTTACCTGAAATTTGGTATGAGTAAACTAGAATTACTGAATAAGATGCTCAAAAAATTTCATCAAAACATTCCACCGGGAACCACCCCAAATGGTGACGGCCAGACAGAGCCTCTTAAATAAGGCTTTATTTGACCCTTTTTGGTTAGTACGTGACCTTATTTGCACCTTTTCTCGATTTTAAATAATGCTACACTTTCTTTCTTTAAAAGTTTAAAATTTACTACACTTTCCCTTTTTTTATATTTTTTCTTTAAAGATTCTCAATTATTCTTACTTTATTTTATTTTTTATCTTCTCTTTTATATTTTCTATATGTCGTACTACTTTTTCTAGGATATTTCTATGTTGTAAAAACCGGACCGGAGAGTGACCCGGCCACATGACTGGGTCACGGGTCAACCCGGACCCGGTGGGTCAACCCGGTCAACGCCGGAAAACCGGTCAATGATTATACGTCTATATAATAATAGTAAACATATAATTATATATAAAATTATAATAAAAATTAGTTATTATTCATAATAATCAACTAACAATACTATTTATTAAGCATTTAATACACTCTTATAATATTTCAATGCATATTTTGATCTTATAAAAATATATAATGATATTTTTATTTTTATTGTACATCTATATTATAATTTGGCATGATGTTCATTCTTAAATAAATATATAAATATATTACGTAGTTTTTCTTTTTAAGGTATTGAAATTGCAATTTTATTGGTATAAAAAATGCATTAAAAATAAAAAAGAAATTACTTTTTTTTGGTAAAAACACCCAAAAACTGGATTTTATCGGGTTTTTCGGGTTTCTTGGGTCCGGGTCTTGACCGGATTTTCCCGGGTCAGCCGAGTTTTTCCGGTTTTTAACCATTTTCGGGGTTTGAAAAAACCGAACCGGTTTTTTGTCTGGGTCACCGGGTTCCGGGTCAACCCGGCCGGGTCGGGTCGGTTTTTTAAACGTAGGGATATTTCATTATTATTTCTACTATTGCTTCCTTAAATGGTGTGCCCAAAAGACTGTAGAGAACTAGAGAAGTTTCAAATACTGTGGGAGTATAGAATTTGTCTGAAAAAGTCAACTTGAATAGAACCGTAGTCTAACTAAAATCACTCACCCATCCACCCACCCACCCACTCCCACCTACCCAACATCCACTCCAGCCCTATACTCCCTTCACCCCACCCTCATCCCCACCCCCCACCCCTATCAGACCAGACACCATCTCTTCGTTCATGGGGAAAGGCTCGTAATTTTCCACATCGGCCTCAAGAAATTCACGGTATGCGTGTTAAATTCATTCGCTTTTGCTTCAAAATTTTAAACCCATGTTTTGAATCCTCTTTGCAGCACTTGTCTTGTTTATAGGCATGATTTGGGGGTTAGATTGGCAATTTCATATCAAAGTCACGCCTTTAGTGTTGGGGTGGGTTTCAATTTGCTTTGTTCTGTAGATCATTATTATTTTCGTTGTTATTATTTTGTTATTTGGTGCTAAATCCTTGATTGATATTTTGGAAAATGATGACAAAAATCGAAATTAAGTGGGAAAGAGATTAGCTCTCTTTGAGTGAAGCTGTGAAATTTTAGGCGAAGAGAAACAAGATTAACACCTAAAGTGGTTATTTTCGGGTAAAAGAGCTATTTCAAAGACATCCTTTTCTTTCTTTTTTGTATGCCTGTTAAGTTATACATTAACTATAAAGGAGCAGTTCAGGAATTCAATTTTCTGTTTTCTAAATGTGTCCGTTGTAAATCCATTGAGCAAATGTAGATGCTTTTTTTTCCTGTTTATTGTCAGTATTTATTTATATTATTATACATATTTTTTCATGCCTACAGAAATGAAGTGAAAGGAACGTCAGGTGTAAATAATTAATGTGTATGCCAGCTCAAGAATCATCAAATATTTGCTTCATTTCAGCCTTTTTATGATTATGATGATCTTCAATCATTCTGGAATTAATAACATTACTCTGAAATCACATCCGGGTGGAGTTTTTGTTTGGTCCCTTTAATTGTTATTAATCTATATAAGTCGAGAGTGAATAGTTTCTAGTCCCAGACCACTCCCCAATATCATGAGGGAAGAGAATGGCTTCTTTATCGTCAGGAAAGGAGATCTCGTAGGCGTTTACAAAAATTTGAGTGATTGCCAAACTCAAGTCGGATCCTCGGTAATGCATCGTATTTCAATTGTCTAAACATGAAAGTATATACTTCTTATACGGGCATGCCTTTGTTTCTAGAAGGCTCTGACTTGTATTTCATTGACAGATATGTGATCCTCCTGTGAGTGTGTATAAAGGCTTCTCTATGCCCAAGGACACAGAAGAGTATCTTCTTTCATGTGGGCTTAAGAATGCTCTTTACTCCATCAGAGCGCAAGATCTTACTGAAGATCTTTTTGGAACTTTGGTGCCATGTCCTTTTCAAGTGAGACATAGTATTTCTTTATGCAATTTCTATAGTTACTCCATTTATTTATCTTTTTCATTAAGTGGTCATATAAGTTGCTGGCTGTTTTGCTTAAGCCTTACCTATTAGAGTCATGCAATCGATTTGTCACTAAGAATCTAGAACAACAAACAATGGAGTTCAACTACTTCTATGGTTTCTGACTGGAATAACAAAATGTAGGGCAATGGCACACATCTCTTGACTTTTTTTTCCATTTTGTCATAATAAAATGAATCTGCACTTTCTTCTTGACATCTTGGCATGACAAACTCTTCTGTTCTATGTTATAAATTCTATTAGCATCCTCTCTAATATGCATATGCTTTTAATAAAACCATATACTTAAATTTGGAGTGCTGAACAGGGTTGTTCAACCTTCTCCTCAACTTTTTAATTCCACTAAAAGAAAGATATTTGGTAATTTGGCCCATTTGGGGGTAGGGTTGGGGGTGGGAAGAGAGTTACAATGGCATCATGTCATGTTTTCCATGGAGTAGAGATGCCGGACAGCCGGAGTTTCTTTTAGATTAGAATTTAGTGCATGTGGGGGAAGGGGTTGAGATGTCATTATCTTTTTCATCTTTCAGACTAAAAATATGGTTGCCTTTATTATTAACATTTTCTTTCTTCAGCAACCTTCTTCTTCCAAAGGTGGACCATCAAATGAACACATGCCAAAGAAAAGGCCACCGGAAGCAATGTGGCCAGACTATGCCGTAAGTTAAACTTGATATTCTGAAAATATGCCATGGGTAGGCATTTAAGTTTAGGTCTGGAAGCAGCAAATACCACCCCTAACATCTAAACAGTATTAAATTGGGAGAGTTTATTTTCCTGGTGGAGATTGCTCAGTAGTTGGAGGATAAAGCGTAAACCTTGAATTTATAAGGAATACTAACCTCCATCCCTTGTAGGTTTTCAACCTTTGACTAGAACATGGATTAATAAAATGAACTTTTGGTTGAGACCTATTTAGAAGAGAGAAACCATACTAACCTAAAATTTCTGTCCTCGAAAAAATGGCAATGCTTTTTTGGATGGCCAAATTATGAAAGTTGTCGAATGAGTTGAATCTTTTATGGAAGAAGTAATAAATATAGCTCCCGTTTTCTTATCACATCTGTTTTGTACTTGCACATGTAGGAGTAGGCATGGGTGCATCATGAAGGAGGCCAAGAACTTCGTCCTTAAAGTTTCATGGGTTCATAAAAATTGGGAAAACCAAGATTAAGCGTCCATGATCCATAACGATCATAAAATGCTGTGAATAGAAAACAGTAGACATTTGGAAGGAGAGAATATGTTGAGGAAAATAAAGCATTGATTCAAAGTTGATAAATTAATGATTAATAAATGTTAGAATTCATTTCTATTTATATTATATAAATATAAATACTAAGAGATCTAAACACATGTAAAACACGTTAAAATAGTAATTGTATTTCGCTTGCCTTTATGTTATATTAGATTCAAACATAAGTAACTTTCCTTGGCACTTTCTTTCATTATCTAGCATATCCCAAAACCCAAATATAGCATATTTGTGTTATAGCATATGCTACTTCCCTACAACGAATATGGATGACTGATTACTACTATGATTAGGAGTAGCTTTTATTTTCTAAAATAATAGACCTGCAGTGTTTGGGAATACTGATTCAACTTTTACATTTTTACCCCTGTGTTTCTTTTCAGGATGCTGTTGGATCAGCAATTATGTCAAATGATTCGCTAAGAAAGCATGCCAAGTTAGAACATAAGGGGGATCCAGCTATATCACCCAGTGTGAGTGGCTATTGTGATGGTTATTTGCAAAAAACAACTGTAATCTACATACCTAGGCTCATATGTATTTGTGCAATTTGGGAGGTCTCCAAACACAAAATTTTTCTGAATTTGCTACACTAATGGTGAAAACAAAACTCTGTGGAGTGAACTATATCGGTTAGCTCATACAGATGTGGTATTTTAACATGCTGCATATGAACATGATGATCTTTCTTCTCTGTAACAGCGCTCTTGTTCCCTTGAGTTTGATGGCACTTCAAAAGGAAATCCTGGACCCGCTGGGGCAGGGGCGGTGCTTCGAGCTGATGATGGAACTTTGGTAATTAATTCCTTTTCATCGCAGAATCCATAGTTTTTTTTTGCATTACTACTCAATCAAAAAAGATGAGTGTGGGTGAGATGCGCATGTTGCGGTGGAGGTGTGGACATACTAGAAACTACCGCTTGAGGAACGAGATAATTAGGCAAAAGGTGGGAGTAGAACCTATTGAAGATAAAATGTGAGAGCCTTAATTCCGGTGGCTGGAAGATAAAATGTGAGAGCCTCAATTCCGATGGCTTGGCCATGTGCGTAAAAAACCAAGTGATGCACCTGTTAGACAATTTCAAAGGTAGAGAGAAGAGGCGGGGAGGGGAGGGAGAGGAAAACCCAACTAGGCATGAATGATATGATACTTCTTGGGCTGGATGAGAGTTTGACTTGGGAAAGAGTAAAGTAGAGAGCAAATATACATGTGAAGGATTGATCTCATTCGATCTTTTTTATCTTTTTTCCTTTTTATCCTCTTTATGTTTTTTATCTTATCTTTTTATCTTATTTTTTTGTCTTTATCTCATCCTTGGCTTTATTTCCATCATTTGCAATGGAGCCAAAGACTCACTATTTTTTTGGCTTGAGAATATGATAGAATAAAGCAAAAATGACTCACTAAACTGTTTGCGCTTCTTTGTTATGAAGCCGTAGTCAGTCCATGCAATTTTCGACGCGATTTTCACCATGGGTCATTCGGAAACAATCTATGTGTGCTTTAGTTTAGGGGTAAGGCTGCGTACATTCAACCCCGTTACCCCAATGTAGGTGGGAACCTTTGTGGCACTGGGGTAAATGGGTAATGATGATCTCATCTGTAGCTTTATCTTATCTTTTTAATCCTTTTTATCGTTTTTTTTTTGTAATCTTATTTACCTTATATCTTTTTTTTTTAATCATTTTTAGCTCTGATTTCATATGTGGATTCATATTAGCCGACTCCAAATTCTTTTTGGACTAAGGCTTGGATGTTGTTGTATTACTCATTCGAAGCTAAATCATCATTACAGGTTTGCCGGCTTCGGGAAGGTTTGGGCGTAGCAACAAGTAGTGTAGCTGAATATAGAGGCTTTATTTTAGGGTTAAAATATGCACTCAGCAAAGGGTTTCAAAGTGTTCGTGTTCAGGGTGACTCTAAGCTTGTTTGTATGCAGGTTTGCATGTTACTTTTATCCATTCATCATTCTTCCTTTCTTCTTTTCCTAATGCAGTTCATGTTTGACTTTCTATGATATAGATCCAGAATCTGTGGAAAGTTAAAAACCAAAACATCTCAACCCTATATGAGCAGGCAAAACAACTGAAGGAACGGTTCATTTCCTTTCGGATAATTCATGTTTTGCGGGTATGCCAAAAAATAAAACTTTTTCATGACTAATTTGCTGTTTTGCTCACCTTATTCTGTTTTCTTATTTCTTGTTTTTATTCTAATTAAACCAGACCAAATTAGAAAGGTTCAGATCAGAAAGACTAGATATTCTAACTTAGACAAGAAAATAAGAACACATTAGTTAGATCAATGTCGTCAAACTAGACTAGAATTATTCAGACAATCAGACCAGACTTAAAAGATTCAGACCAGATCACTTTCTAAAAGTTCCATATCAGTATATTTAGGTGAAGAGAACGAATCCTAAATGTGAATGTTCTCTTCTACCTTGTTGATCTCACTTTCTCTACAATAGACCTATTATGCCTTTTTGATAAATAACCTATTAGGGCTGTCTGGGGTTGGACACGGGCCGGGTCAGAGTAAAAGAGGAACTATAATCTTAACCGGGTTAACTGGTTCCAGTTTTTAGCCTATTTAACAAAACAGAACCAGTCGGCTCAGGTCCTATTTTGGAGGAACCAATTTAGACAGATTTCTGCCCAGATACAAAAAACAGGCACCAGCTTATTCCTTTTACCCGCTTTAAGGCCAGCTGCGCTCATTTCAAAATGTTTTTTTGTAGGAGTCCAACTCAGATGCCGATGCACAAGCAAGCATGGCTGTTGATCTTCCTGGTACGATTACTACATTGTGGGATCTTTGTTATCTTTTCAGAACATTTCATCAAATATTGTTGTTATTCTGTCTGTTTATGCAGAAGGCCAAATTCAAGAGGAAATTGACAAATAGTCCAGGAGATCAATTTTAGGCCCAAATCCAAAGAACGCAATGACATACACAGAAAAAGATTTTTATATTTAGCGGTTTGACTTTCAAGCTTTTCTGCTGCAAAAGGTGGTGGTTGCACATCCCTTTTTGCATGCATGAATGTATCTTTTTGTCCAGTTTTGTTTGATGTTACTAAAATCTGAGATGTAATTTTATTGAAGTAGAGCTTAGAACCGGCATTAATAACACAGAAACTTTTGGTAGATGTAATTGTATTGTGTCACTTGCCATTTCGGTAGGATGTAGGAGGACTTGATATCATATCTCATTCATTGATGTAATAATATTCTCTATTTCTCTAGGAGTTCCAATGAGCTGGGCCGAGCTCAAATGAACCTAATAGTTTTTGCTCGAACTCAAGCTTGGTTTGAGCTTGGCTTGAAGTGATATTATACATGCTACTATTAATATTATATTTATTTATACATACTAATAAATAAATAATACTAGTAGCTAGTATATGTATTTTATTGCTCTCCTTTTTATTAGTTCATCTCTCCATTAACATTTTTACTCCTTATTTTACTTTCAATTAAATTTTGGTATAATTAAATAAATAAATAAAATGAATAAATGAGCGGCTTGTTCGTTTGCACCCAATATTCTCCAACTTGCCCCCCTCTTTGGTATCGAACTTTGTTTCCATTTCCTTGTCAATTTCCAAATAAGCATCCACTTCCAGTATTTGGTAGATAACAAATGCACTGCTGAAAATGGGAGAAGTACAAAACTACATATACCCTTGAATGTATATCGGTAAGGGGTAGGGACACATGCCCCACGATGTCTAGTTAGGCTGCTTAGGCATGGACCTGCTTCAATAAGTCGGGTACTTGATCTTTGCACGGAACTGGAAAACTGACCCAAATCAATCCCGCTCAGTACTAGACTCGGTTCTTGACCGGTCGGACCGTCGGACTGCCATATTGGGTCCATGCCTATGTGTAGACGTGTAGTTAAGGTCCGGAAAAAAATGATTACACCCCATCTGTAAAGGTCCCTTGGATCGGCCACACAATTGTCTGAAAGAATGCAAATTGAGTTTTAATAACACATTGATGAAAAAAGAGTGGTTTCAACCCAACTCTTTGCTTGGAGTTAAACGCAAATCTCTCCCTCGTTACATCCCTTCCCACCCGGTGAAAAGGCTCGTTTATAATCTATTGTTACCACTTCTTGATAAGTGACTGTCATACAAACACACTGAAACACATGTATTCCCTTTTGGTAGACAATTTTGAAGCATACCACCTTATAGGAGTCGTAGGGGTGGAACAGTCGTAACCAAACCAGTCAATTCCCATGACAAATTTGGGTGGTTCAGGTCGGAGATTAGCCTCGGGGGTTCTGGTCTTCCTGGTACGATGCACAACAGTTTGTAATATATATATATGATATATGATGACAAATGTTCAGGTCCGGAATTCCGAACCAGAACTGCCGTCCGGAAGGCAGCGTTTGGGTCACTTTCCGTTGAAATTTTTTGATAAATGTTTTGGATATGTACTTCATCAAGTCTATTTTATTCACAAAAAATTTCAACTAAACATTCAATCGGGAAGACAGTCAAATTATTTTTGGAAAATAACTACGTTTTTATATGTACATTCAATCGGGAAGACAATCAAATTATTCCCGTGTATAATAATTTATTATGATCCTATAGTAATAATACTTATGATTATACATTTATACAACAATAATTTATGATTTTATAACAATAGTAGTATATAGCAATAATGATTAAACTCACTCTTAAAAGTTATAAAGTATTGGTTGTAGTGTAAAGGAAAAAATGCTTTTAAACTAGGTATTGTTGTCTTGCCAAACGGGAGTCTTTTCTCATTCATTGACAAAATGACAAGGACGTCAGTTTTGTTTATTTTTCTTTGCATGTGCGTCCCACACCGGAAGAAGAGGAAGAATTCCTAATTATAACACTTTATATATAGAGAGTAGAGACCGCGTTTATCAACCGTCCGATTTAATAGCCCAGCCCGCATTTGTTCAGGCATGATAGGCGACCACGGGAAGCCTGCAGCGACGATCCAGTGAGAGAGCTTTATATTCGTTCCCTAATCTCCAATTTTCAAGTTGAAGTTGGAAAGCTTTTCAAACATGAGTGGGTTGAAGAGGATCACATAATCTGTTCTTACACTTCCACTTGAGATCCTCATTGATATACTCACTCGGATGATTCGTTTGCTGATCTTCATTACAGAAGGTGCTCGACCCTTCGCCATAGGATGAGCATTCTCATCTCTTTTGTAACCAAAGCAGGTCAGACCCGTGTGTATTATACAATAAACTTCACTGATGAAACCCGAGGAACTCTCGAGGCCAACCGTGTGCCATATTTTGATGAATGTCCACAAAGTCATTTAGGGATGTATGCCAAGGGCCTGTTTTCGCTGCTCACAGATTCAAGAGATGATGTAATTTGCAACCCTCATACAAGGCAGCACATTTCTCTTCCAAGAATATGTGTGAATAGCAGTCCCCTTGAATTGAATTGTGAGCGGTTGGGTTTTGATCCAGTCTTGAAAAAATACAAGCTTTTGAAGTCCGTATGGTCTTCTGAATCCGGGAATCGTATTGTTAATGGCATTCCCATCACTCATAAGTCATACCTGGATGAGGCAATGGGTTTTCACTCTAGGAGTGGATCAATCATGGAGGGAGATAAAATGCATCCAGTTTTATTATGCTAATATCTCCTCCCATCACTTTTTCCATAGTGTCAAATTGATCGTATTATCTATTCATTTAACTGGAAGTACTTTGGTAGTTCAGTTCCCGGGAATATAGCAGCATTTGACGTTTGTGCTGAGAGCACACATATGATTCCTTTTCCGCTGGACTTTTCATCACAATGCTCACAACTTATGACTACTGGTTTAGTTATGAGGTCGGCATTAGTTGATCTGGATGGTCGACTGGCCATCGTTCATGTTTCTAAAGGTGATGACCGTAAGTACAACAGTATGATCATATGGAAGATGGAGAAATGTATGGTGTGGAAGAAGCTTGCAATTGCCATTCCATTGGAGGCGAGTCAAATGTTTAGCCGACGTCTCCTACGTGTTACTACAAATCATTTTGGAGAAGTTATGCTATTCTTAATAGGGAAAAGTAAGAGAAGTAATACCGCATTACTTCTACTTTATAACTTCAAATCACAAGTTTGGAGAAAGTTGGATATACATGGGCTTCTGGATAAACCGTCTCCTTATTTTTGGGACACTGCTGTCATGCACGTCATTGTAGACAATCTCTTTTCTGTTGCTGGAGGATCATCCAACTGCCCTTTGGCATGTGCAGGCTAGTTTGTTGCAGAAGGCACCTGCTTAATTAGATGCAGTAAACTTGTGGACATACTAGATTTTCTTCATGTATTTGTGCTTGCCATGGCTTGAAAATATGTGCTCATAGGAGTCCTCGTTATGTTTATTTTATATTTAATGGTAGCATGCTACTTCTCCAACCAAATATGGGGCTCATACCGCTAATACTCTCTTTGTCTCATTTAAAAGTTCACGTTCACCATTCTCTGGTCAATGTGAATTGTTCTTAATCTTTTACTTTATATATCCAACTTTTATCAAATTTAATTTTTCTTGATCTAGTATTATAAACTTTTAATGTGGTTTCTGAATATGTAACTTTTATTTACTAACAATAATCTTATGAATGACAGAGATCAGTTTACGTTATGATAAGTCAGACATCGTAAATCGTGTGAGAACTTTTAAGTGGGAGGGAGTACAAACATTGTTTTGAATGTAAACAATAAAAAATTGATCCTCCATAAAAAAAATTGATCCTAATTGCCCAATTACTTTTTGTAAATAGTGAATATGTTTTCTTTAATGTCAAAGCTATTAAAATGGTATAGTTTAAAAAACATTTTTTGATCATTAGGAGGGATTCATTTCATGGTGTCATTGGCATACATTAAGATATAACTCATGTATAAACAGATGTACATCTCGCATAAGAAAATGTAACTTCATATAATATCAATATAAACAGTGAAAACAAGGAATTTAATTGTTCAATTAATTTACGTAAATAGTGAGTATGTTTTCTTTTTAATATTAACGACATAAAAATGATTTAAAGAAAAATCGCTTTTTGCTATTTTTATCCGCTAGTTCTAACAATCTAAAAGTTTACTAATCCGAAAATATGGCCGCTACTCAATGCGATATCATCAACACCAATTTTCAAAAAATGGAAAAGTTTGAAGGTGTAGAGTTTCGAAGGTGACAGAAAAAGATGCATTTTCGGTGAGAGTGTTTTCACTCACCATAGGTGCTTGTGTTTGATTTTCAAGGTAAGAATAGAAGGTGGGTTAAGGTACAAGTGGAGTCAAAGTTAAAGTGGTGGAGGCTCGAGGGGAATCTCCAACAAAGGTTTCACACAAAATGTTGGAGAAAGATGTATTGTCTATTGATAACGACACACATGTGGATAATGTATGATCAATGGAGTCCACCATTAACAAAGTGGTGAAGAAAATACTCAGAGAATCTATAGGATGTTTGACACCAAAAAAGGACACATCTTGGTGGAATAATGAGGTGAAACAAACAATAAGGTCTAAAGGGGATGCTACAAAAAATTGGGCAAAAGTTGGAGCGACGAGAGCATAGAAGAGTACAAGGAGGCTAGAAGAAAAGCAAATAAAGTTGTAAAGAAAGCAAAAGGGAAAATGAACAAGAAATTGTATACAAAATTGAACTCTAAGGAAGGAGCAAACAATATTCATAGAGTTGCCCGCCTTCGTAATCGTAGGACTGGATATAGGAAAAGTTAAATGTGTGAAGGATGTCGATCAAAGGGTACTGATGGAGGACGGGGAAATAAAAGAAAGGTGGAAGTCATACTTTGATACCTTATTTAGTGGGAATAAATCGCAAGGTATTGACAATCTTACTATACCAGTGTATGGTAAATTGAGACTTTATGAGAAGGATCCAAATGATAGAAGTTAAAGAGGTTCTGAAAAAGATGTGGTAAAAGAATGCAGTGAGTCCAGATGACATACCAATCGAGGCTTGGAGAAGTTTGGGAGATAAAGGCATCAAGTAGATAACACGTTTCTTCAACATGATCTAGAGAAACAACAAAGTACTAGTGAGTTGGCGGAATAGTATTTATTCCCCTATTTAAAAATAAGGGTGATGTACAAGAATGTATCAACTATCCGAGGGATCAAGCTTATGAGTCACACCATGAAATTTTGGGAGCGAGTGGTTGAGCAAAGACTTCGAAAAAGTGTGAAAATTTTGGAGAATCAGATTGGCTTTATGCTTGGACGCTCAACAACTGAGGTTATTCCTCTTCTTATACAAGTTGTGGAGAAGTAGGAGATGTATAGAGACACTAAAAAGGATCTACATTTGGTGTTCATTGACTTAGAAAAAGCATATGATAGGATATCTCGAAAAGTCTTTTGATGGACCTTAACTAGAAAAGACATATCACATGAGTATATACTTATCATCATGATATGTATGAGACTTATACTACAAGTGTCCGTACTAGTGTAGGGAGGACCGCAAAGTTCCCTATTACTATCAGAGTGCACTAAGGATAAGCTCTGAGTCCTTTCTTATTTGATAGATGAAATTACAAAGTCAATTCTAGAATATATACTGTGATGCATGATGTTTGCTAACGATATTATATTGATTGATGAGACACAATCAAATGTTAAAGCAAAGTTAGAAGTATGACGACAAATATTAAAGACCAAGAGTTTCAAACTGAGCCGAAGCAAGATTGAGTATATGGGTGGACTCGGGCCGGTTCGGGCATGGGCCCCGCCGGGCCTCAGTTCAGGAATGGGAGGCCCGGAACCGGCCCGGGTAACCCTAGGTCCGGACCGGGCCGGGCCTCAATTCCATTTTTTTTGGCTTTTCCTAATTAACCCCCCCCCCCCCCCTCATTCCCAAACCACCTCAAATGGCCCAAAATACCCAGCCCAACCCAAAAACTTAAAAAAAAATTCAAAAAAAAAAAAAAGAAAAAAAAATTAATTTGGCCCGGACCGGGCCCAAACCGGCCGGGCCGGTTCACCAATCCTAGGGCCCGAGCCCGAACCGCATTCCTACCGGGCCGGGCCGGTTCAAACAGTAACCGGGTCAGTTCTGTTATATGAAGTGCAAGTTTGGTGAAGGTAGTAGTAGCAAGTTTGGTGAAGGTAGTAGTAGCAACAATGTGTTATATATTCTTAGACCAAGGCACACACCATGCTAAATTAGGATTATTTCTAAATACTAAAACAAGTAGTTCAAGCATCACTATTTTTAGACCAAAGGAGTTCTTGTATTTGGATTTATACCAGCCATCACTTGTTTTAACTTAATCTTGATCATTCATACTGAACTTGTAAACTGGTATATAAGTATAGTCTGATTTGTCTCGATGGACTTGTAAACTGGTATACAAGTATATTGTCTGATTTGTCTCGATGGTTGATGCACATAAATCTTACGGTTCATGTTCAACAAAACAAGCAAATGAAGAAATATGCATCGCACTCCGTTTAGTGTTGGACCCAGGCCAGGTCAGGCCCGGTCGGGCTTTTGAAGATTGGGGGAAGGCCCAGAACCGACCTGGGGTTCCACCGGGTATGGGCCGGTCCGGTCCGGGCCTCGGGCTAGCTCCTATTTTTTTTTCTAGTTTACCCCGACCTCCCCCTCACCCCCCCCCCCCCCAAAGCACCCCAAATGGCCCAAAACACCCAGCGTCCCAGCCCAACCTGGGAAAATGAAAAAAAAAATAAAAAGCCCGAACCGGTCCCAGCCCGGCCAGGCCGGTTCCATATTTCCATGACCCGAGCCCACTCAACAAAACATCAGGACCGGTCCTACCCGAATCGGGCTCTGGCGGGCCACCGGGCCGGGCCCAAACAGTACCGGTCCCGGGCCGGGCCGCCCGGCCCGAGTCCATCACTAACTCCGTTCAAAACTTTTCTCCTATGTAATAAAGGTTTAACATAAGCTAAGACCGATGATAGAACCTAATGAAGGCCTAATTTTTTACAAGGTCTAAAAGAAGTACTGATGTAAAAAAGCATAAGATACAAAATCTATAGATTTCTTTCATGCGGTTCGAGCCATGGAAATCCAAGGAAATCAAATATTTCCTTCTCTGTGTCAAACTTTAAATTAGCACCTTTTAGACCCTGCATCATTATTTTCAGTGATTAATGACAACATAAAAAAGTGAATATCATAAGAGAACAGATATAAAGCAACCATACATGTTTCCCATCAGAATCTTGAGTTGAAGGAAATAATCCTGTATCATCCAATCGGAAACCCTTTGACTGGGCTAATAACCTAAGCCTGCATAAGATGACAGAAAAGCTCAAGTAAACTAAAATTAAATTATATACATCTTCAAAACAATAGAATAAAGTAAATGCAAATCTTTAACTTTTAGCGTATGTTTGGGAGTTTGGAGGGAAGGAGGGGGGAAGGCTTTGGAGGATGTTGGAGGGGAAAAGGTGGGGAGGGTGAGGAAACCCTTCTTTGTATTTGGGAGTAATAAATTTGGAAGAAGAGAAATTTTCAATGAATTATACTCATCAATAAAAAACCACTTGGAGATATGACGAAATCAAACAATTGAACTGATATATATTTTTAATTGAGTTTAAAATACCATTTCCTTATTTATCCTTCAAAACACTTCAAATTGGGGAACTCAAAAATTGAGCATTTAGAGGGTTTTGAAAGGTCACTAAAACCCTCCAAAACCATTCTCATCAATTTTATAAACTCCCAAACATGAAAAAGAGGGTCATAAACCCACATCAACCTTCCCTCCCCTCCAAAACCCAACTCCCAAACACACCCTTAAGGTATGTTTGGGAGTTTGGAGGGAAGGGGAGGAGAAGGCTTTGAACGTTAGTTCTAGGAAGAAAATTGGATGGAAAGGGGAGGAAATCCTTCTTGTTTGGGAGTTGCAAATTTGAATAGAGAAGGGCTTTCGAGGAATTATAATTAAAATCACTTTAAAGATATAGCAAATTCAAATAGTTTGAATTTATATTCAATTTAAATTAAGTTAAAGTTATTCAAAAAAAAATAAAAAAGTTATCATTTATGTTCAAAATCCCCCAAATTGAGGGAACTTAAAAATTAAGCATTTGAAAGGTTTTGAAGGGTCATAAGAACCCTCCAAAACCATCCCTTCCAATTTTCTAAACTCCTAAACAAGATAGGAGAGGTCATAAACACTCCTAACCCTTCCCCTTCCCTCCAAACACAACTCCCAAGCATACCCTTAAGGAAACTATAATGTTCACAGACATAACCAATTGACTGAGAGTTTGATAATGTTTTAGCCTAGCGCCCTAGCAGGCTCAGTCATGCTAAAGCTGATTTCCACCACACTATTGAGATGGTCCGAACTCCAATGTTGCACAATAGTAAACTGAAGCACCGAACAGGCCAAAATTCCAATTAGAGATAGGTTAAAGCTTTATTCCACCTGGGTTTAACTTTATGGAGTTGGTTTTGTACATTCAACAATCGAACTGAGCTTGGTTCTTTAGCAGCACTATCTCAAAGAGCACTTCATGAGTTCAAAATGATACTATAAATTTAGGGTAATACTAAAACAATTGATTCAACTAAATAAGAGACACTCGTTGAAAATTTACTTTCAGGATGCTCTATCATGAGGAGATTCAAAGATTAGGAACTAATGTCTTCAACTTGGAATGGACATACCTCCTGTTTAGGACATCATTCCCCGTCCAATGTACTAGACCAAATGCATATATATTTCTTGGATACACCTAAAGACAAATGGATTAGTTGCATGCCTACTAAAACACAATGGCTACTTTAGCAAATTAAGACTTGGAGAGAAGAACAATTATATATAATAAAGAACTACCCAATAGTGGCAGTTCGACTGTCAAGAACCAAAGACACATGAATTTGCATATTAACCAGCAGTTAATTCTGAAAAAATCTTTGAAAAAGGGAAGAATAAAAAAACTTTTCTGCTTGCTCATTTCTACTAAAGAACTCAATTGGTTGCATCAAATGAAATGGGGCCCAATAACTAGTCCATGAAGGGAAATGAAACTGGACGGGGGCGAAAATTTGCACAAAACCACATTGTAATTAGATTAACCCAAACCTCATGTGTACCTTCAAGTCAATGCGGCGCCGTAGCTCTTCACCAGGACAAGTGCAAAGTCCGAAATAGGTGTCTACTCCTGCTTCTGAATTCTGTTTATTTGATTACTAGTTACTCAGGGTACATGGTAAAATGAAACAAAAATTATCTGAAAACATTAGCCAGAAACATAAATTTAACATATTTGGCTGGATGACCACATATATGGCGTTAAAATGTCTGTTAATTTCAAAAAATGAAACAAAGAGAGGTTGCTCCTCAATATACATCTTGACCACTTATGCTACTCAAAGTCCAAGATACATAAAAAAAATTAAATAAATAAATAGATGCACACACATAAATACACACATACTAATGGGTATTTTACCTCTTCGCTGTGAATACTGAAGATCAAATCATCCCTCAAAAACTTCATTTCTTTGAGACTCTTTACATATTGTGCAAGAAAACCTATATGACTGAAGTACATCAGAAACATCATACTTTTTAGTAGGATTATTGGATTAAAAAATGCTGGGAATTAAGCATTGCGGCTTCCCATTTCAACTCTAAATGAATGGGTATATACATGCCAGACCTTTGAAATCAGAAAAGATAACTTGATCAATAGGATTGAAGAGATACCCCCCCCCTGCCCCCACCCCCCTGTTTCTTATTTTACCTTTCTCCATCAGGATGAGTGATGACAACGTCCATATCCCCACAAGATGCCTTTCCACGCCTATATGACCCTCCACAGACAATAATTACCTGTAATATTGTGTTGGTACTTGGTAGTAATGGATGAACAACATAAATAAAGAATACGAGAGGTGGCAGCTTGGCTTCAGGCATAATAAATGAGGAAATAAAAAAGATTTCCCATTCAAAGGTATGATCAACTGAAATTGTTGGATTCTCACAAAGGATAATTTTAAGAAACCAGATTAAGTTTGTTTCAGAAGTCAGTGTTGGGTGGTGAATAGTCAGAACTTTTATGCCTTAGGCTCCTCGCAGCACATTTATGAGATCTTATATGTTTCTTACTTCATCAGCATCCTACCACATTGTTAAATTTTAAAAATAGTCATATTCCTAGGAAAATGCAGATTAAAATTCAACCAGAGTTCTAAAGCAATATGCTCCATGCAGCACATTAAAATTACCACCACACATATTCGTAATTGTTATTATTATCACTGTAATAGTGTAATGCTGCAGAAGCCATAACTTCAAAACTTTGCACATTTTCCAAGAAAGGACATTGATCAGTACAATTGACAATTGAAACCAATCAGTTGGATACAAACAATGCTTACCCCAGGTAAAATCTCTTGTGCAACCTTCTGCAGAAGTTGGTCCATGATTTCAACCTACAAGATTTATTAGTCAGATAGAAAAACAGTACTGGTTTGCGTTATGATAAAAAAGAAAATGAAGCTCACCTCATGACGTGGAATTCTTGTTTTGATGTCATGAAAATACTTCAAGCCTAATCTTTGTGCATTAGTAAGTGATTCTTCACTTTTGAGGTCATCTAGAGTCCGGTACCCTTTCTCATAAAGTTTTAAGGCAGTTGCTGGGCCAACACCCCATACTTCTCCAAACAAGCTGATCGTCCGTACCTGAGGAATTCTAAGGATGTCAGTTTCCTAAATAAGCATTAGAACTTGAACTGCTTCAGTGTTAAGTCTACCACAAGAGGATATATAGATCGAATATGGCATGAAATATAATCATGATTAAGGAAACCCATACTCAAGTATTAGTTGTCATATGACACAACTCATTAGCAAATTATTGCATAAACAATTCAAGAATTCGTGCCTTGAGAAATACATCTTTAACACAAGATCACTTACTTCAACCATCATTGAGCCTTCGGCAATGGAAACAGAAGAGAAAAATCTCAAGTGTACCTTTTCGTCCTGCTCAAAATGCTCCAACTTGGCCAGCTTTCCTGTGTTCACTATTTCCTGAATCTAACATTAAGAAAATAATTGCCTCTTATCTTCAATCAGTTTAATTTATAATGAAAGCACAATCTCTAATGGAGATGCAATTAACATAGAGGATACTACCAGGCCAGAAAATAAAAGCTTAGAAGCAATCATACTGTTTACTCACATGTTCTTGCAATGACTTTCCAATACCAGGAAGGTTTTGAGCCTGGTCGACACTTTCAATTTTGAAAGGGAGTTTCTCAATAACTGGGATGGCTTTGTAATAGCTAAATGACCTTCGATCATCACCAAGTGCTGTCATTGAGGGTTTTGTTGTTTAGCATATGCTTCTAAGTTTCTAGCAAGCTTATGCCAATATGCCATAATTCCTAAGTATAAAAAACAATGGCAAGAGCACAGAAGTTTTACCCCTATAAATGTCAACAAGTTTTCCAAAAGTCTCGGTAATGTTCTTGTTTAAATTGGGAGGCAGATAAAGCACTGATGATTTTGATGTTTCGGCCTGTTTAATGATCACACAGGTCACAAGTCACGTGTCAAAATAAGAAAACCCTGAAACCAGAGATATGAAAGAAAGATAAGCAAGACTCCAACAAAGTAACAAGATATGCTGGAATCTTTTCTTCTTGGTGCAATAGGAAGAAAAATAAACCACAGATTTTTTTACAGTAACTTGGCATTTATATGAATGGAGGGTGGGCTTAGTCTATATTTTGATAAATATTTGAGATTTAATAAAAATTGAAAGATTTACACACTATGCAATTATATAACATTTCAATCACCATTTATTTGCTATCAGGAACACTCTATTATCAAGAATTCAAGATAAGTAAATAGCCCTCTAAAGCCTTTGCCTACAAACCCCTCCATCCAAACAGGCCCTTAGGGAGAAGGGAATGCCTATTTTTACGGCCTATCCACAAGGATAAAGAACCTCATTGATGATTTCCAGGCTTGATGAGCATTCATAGTTGGACGCAGCATCTACTAACTGATGCTCAAAGTGGTCCTCTGTATGAAAATTGTCCTCGTGATTCACTATATTGGTACCCTCAGAAGAGATCCTGCACTTTTTCGGTGTAAGTTCATTATTGCTACAATCACTTCTAATGTCTTCCTTGAGAGTATCTTTGCTCCCCGCTGATTCAAGAGATACAGTGTACAAATCTTCAGACACCCTTTCACCTTTTGTCAAACTGTCTTCCACCCACTGATATAACAGCACTCTCTGAGTTGGCATATAATGACCAAAACAACAAAAGTTCAGACACTTTGTCCAAATACTAGTTTCAAATGGGAACAAAATTTAAGAATGACAGAACTTCTGAAACTCTACTGCTACACAGTCAATCAACAAATCACTTCACTTTCCACTATGAATATTGTGCAAATCATTGTTGTAAAAACAAAGGTGCCTCCAATGATCTAAATACTGAAAGTCCACATTGATAATGTGGTATCATCAGGGGCATATCCACCATGGGGGCAGCTGCCCCCAGTGGACTTTTTTAAAAAGATATTAAACGGCATCATTTTGGCATTTGGTTAAAAATAATTATAATTTGTGAGAAATTCTAATCCCTTAGAAAGAAAAAACATTTACTGTTAGAAATGCAACCTCACAACGGTTTGAGAATATGAAAGAATGTAGAAGAGTATGCAGAACCTTCTAAAAAAATTCTTTCATATTCAAGGTAAGTTTGAATGTTTTATCTCAAAATATTTTATCAATTAAATGGTGCGTAGTATTTTTTATGTTTGGGTAAATACTTTTTATACTGTAGTCCTTTATAATCTCACATCCTTTGAGAACAAATTCTAGATATGCCTCTAGATATCATCACCTAATTTATCTTTAAGTTTCAAATCAGACTAGCCTAAACATCATAATGCTAAATTGCAATAAATGGACAGAAAAAACATATTCCTGGAAGTATATGATCATAGTAGTCTACTTTTGCACTTAAAGCTCCATACCACAGATGGAAAAACCTACCCACATGCAAATTTCAACACGAATTCATGAAAGAAACGAAACATTAATGTCATGGGATAAAAGCTTACAGCTTTGGACCTAATAACGCGTTTGTGATCAAGTTTCTTTAAAAGGATATTAGCATTTGCGGCAAAAACATGAGTGACATTTTTCGAAAACTTTGCCTCAATGCTAGCCCCCATTTGTGTCAATCTCTGCTTCCATATCTATCCGTAAAACAGATTCCAAAAGTAAACAATGGAAAACGAAAGAAATAAACATTCAGTTACGAAGTACTCCGTATTTTTTAACAGACAGGAGTTGAAAACACCTGTAATCGGCGAGTTTGGACTCCGTCTTCAACTAAGAAGACTACCATTCTGCTGAACATTCCATGAGGATCACAGAGTGGAGATTTAATCTTCCTTGGCGGCATATTTGTGTCAAGCTTCGAGAGTAAAAAATGTCAGAACGGGTGAGAAAGAAAAACAAGAATAAAAACGAGAGCCAAAGTTCTCAAATAAAGTAAGATTTCACCAAATACACAATTTGATTCCACATAATATAATCCAACGGTCCAGATTCGTTCTCATTTTTCTCCTAAAATCTGTTCTTACCGGAATCGCTCCCTATATATATATACTTCCTCCGTTCTTTTTTAGTTGCAACGGTTAACATTTCACGCTTGCCAATGCATGTCTTTGACTGTAATTATATCTTAATCTCTATTAGTAAAAAATATTTAAAAATTAGATTTTGAAAATTTGTAATGAGATGAATTGAACAATATTTTTTTTAAAAAATAATTTTCATAAAATAATAATATAAAATGTAGTCAAAGTAGAACATATGAATAGTGTAAACTTCAACATGTTGCGATTAAAAAGAGACGGAGGATAGTATATGTATATCGTGAGTTTGTAGGTAAGGTATACCTTACCGGAACTCAATAAATGTAAGTTCCCTATATATATATATATATATATATATATATATAATATATATATATATATATATATGAGAAAACTTCATGTCAGGCCGGCCTGACGGGCTGTCCCATCCGGCCGAGCCCGTTTGGGCACCTTCCCGGTGGAATTTTTTGATGAAATTTGTTGAGCATGTTCCTCATCAAGTCTAGTTTGTCCATACCAAATTTCAGCTCAAAATTCGATCGGGAAGGTCTTCAGATGATTTTTGCAAGTTAACTGGTCCGGAAAATACATATTCCGGACCAGTTAACTTGCAAAAATCATTTGACGACCTTCCCGATCGAATTTTGAGCTGAAATTTGGTATGGACAAACTAGACTTGATGAGGAACATGCTCAAAAAATTTCATCAAAAAATTCCACCAGGAAGGTGCCCAAACAGACTCGGCCAGACGGGGCAGCCCGTCAGGCCGGCCTGATGAGAAGAGCCCTCATATATATATATATATATATATATATATATATATATATATATATATATATATACACTACGTATATATATATATATATATATATATATATATATATATATATATTTATGTTCAAATAAGAAAACCATCTTAGGAGAGAAATGAGAAAGAATATATATCATTGGATCTTTGGACTTTTAATTACTTACGTGGCTACTTTTTTTGGGCAAAAGAGGTATTTCATTTTTTGCATCTATTTAGTTTCACGTGTAGCTAATTGTTAGGAGGATTTCATTCCAAATATAAAGCCTCCATTTAATTTTCTATTTATCTTCCTTATGTGTTATACTCCATTTTCTTTAAAACTTGTTTCTTCTTTGCTTAGGTTTTCTTCCATCTACATACTAGACTACCAGTCTTCCACTTCCACTTTTGAATAACTTCAAGCACACATGAAAAGAACCGCTCTTTCTCACCCTGGGATGCATTACAGATTTCTCTTATTCATCCCAACATCGCAGAAATGATGTTTCTCCCCTTACATGGCGTTTTCTGGAGTGATGCTCTTGTCGTGAAACCTACATATACATTGATGCGCTGTGTGTATGCCATGGTCTTTATTTCCTCACCTCCACCGCTGCCGCCCTGCCGTCTCACCAAATGGTTTTGTGCATCATTTTGATGACAAATGTGCATCACAAACCGTGCATCGTTTTAACAAATAATGTGCATCATGATATAAAATAAGTTTAAAATATACTAGCTATGCACTCTCACCGATTCAAGTGTGCAATTTTGTAAAAATATATACACAGCTTTGAGAATAAAATCGAAGTAAAATATACACATACTTAAGTAACTTCATAAAGTATACAAATGGGTTAAAGAATAAAAAAAAGAATGATATGATCTTAACTATGGGGTATTTTTATTTGGAAAATAAAAATATGGTTAAAAACTTAGTGGATCAGAATTAAAGTTGCACAAAATTTGTATGGAAGTGCATATATAAAATTTCTCGAGTTAATTCCAATTGTTTTCAATATAGTGCACCTGAGTTCATTAATTCTTGCACATTTAATATATATAATTAAATGTTACAAGTTTTTGAAGATATGCACTATTTTAACAACAAATGTGCAACAAGGGATGTGAAATTAGTTACACATTAAAGCGCACTGGTTTGAAATATATAGTGCAAATGTGTACACGGTGAATTACATTTTTTGAATTTTTGCATGATTTTGTATATTCATTTTAGAATTTCTTGCCTATAACTATATTCTAGTCCCCATATACTTAAGGAGATTAATTTAATAAAGTATTTAATTTGAAATAAAAGAAAATTTGATTCAATTTGTACAAAAACTTTATCAATTTTACGAACTGCACTTCTCTTATAATATTGATGCATAACAGTCCTATTGAAAATGCATATCTATTAAAATGGAAAACATTCGTGAATCTCAATATATTAAAGACATATGTCATAATTCCAACCACTCCTAATTGGAAAACTTCCAAATGAATTCCGTATGCTTAGGAAGGTAAGTGTTGAACTAGTTTACGTAAAAGCCCCTATGATACAAATCAACCGTATTACATTTAATGCAAGTTATTGCTTTCCTTAATTTTTGAGATTTTGATAGTTAATGGAATTGTAAAATTCGACCATCGGATCAAAGATCTCAACGACTATCATGCTTTCTCATTTCTCTCCTGGAACATCTTTCTCACCAGAACCGTTCCCTATATATATATATATATATAGGGAGCGGTTCCGGTCAGAACACATCTTAGGAGAAAAATGAGAACGAATCTGGACCGTTGGATTGAATTATGTGGAACTGAATTGTGCATTTGATGAAACCGAAATGTGCATTAGATGATATTGAAATGTGCATAATAAAAATTTAAACTCACATGTGCATCAGGTGAAACTGAGATGTGCATAATAAAAGGTACTAAAATAACATCACATCGTACCTTTTATTCTGCACATTTTAGTTTCATTTAGTGCACATTTCAAATCCACCTAATGCACAATTTAGCTTCACATAATGTCATTACATTGTACCCTTTGTGCTGCACATTTCAATTTCACCTAATACACATTATAGCTTTATCTAATGCACATTGAATTTCACATAAAGCAAATCTAACGGTCTAGATTCATTCTCATTTTTCTCATAAGATCATGTTCTTATTTGAACCAAAACATATATATATATATATATATATATATATATATATATATACACACACACACACACACACACACACACACAACTATTCAGGTCCGGCCAGGCCGGACCACTCCCCCGTCCGGCCTCCTCCATTTGGGAGTCTTCCCGGTGGTATTTTTTGCTTAATTTTTTTGTGTAGGTTCCTCATCAAGTCTAGTTCATTCATACCAAATTTCAGCCAAAAATTCAACCGGGAAGGTTGTCAAATGATTTTTGCAAGTTAACTGGTCCGGAATATGTATTTTCCGGACCAGTTAACTTGCAAAAATCATTTGACGACCTTCCCGATTGAATTTTTGACTGAAATTTGGTATGGATGAACTAGACTTGATGAGGAACCTACACAAAAAATTTGAGCAAAAATACCACCGGGAAGGCCCCCAAATAGAGGAGGTCGGACGGGGTTCCGGTCAGGTATACCTGACCGGAAGACTACTCTCTCTCTCTATATATATATATATATAGTATATGAGGACTGCTCAGGTTCCTCCGGAGGGACGGGAGAGACCGTCCGAACTTTACTTTTTGGGGCGGTTCCCAGTGGAATTTTTTGATGAAATTTTTTGAGCATGTTCCACATCAAGTCTAGTTTGTCCATACCAAATTTCAGCTCAAAATTCGACCGGGAAGGCATTCAAATCATTTTTTGAAGTTGACTGCGCAAAAATATACATATAAAAATGCAGTCAACTTCAAAAAATGATTTGAATGCCTTCCTGGTCGAATTTTGAGCTGAAATTTGGTATGGACAAACTAGACTTGATGAAGAACATGCTCAAAAAATTTCATCAAAAAAATCCACCGGAAACCGCCCCAAATGGCGGAGTTTGGACGGCAGCTGGACCAGGGAGGGCTGGACCTGATCTTTTCTGTATATATATATATATATATATATATATATATATATATATATATATATATATATATATATATATATATAGGTTTTGGTTCAAATAAGAACACGATCTTATGAGAAAAATGAGAACGAATCTGGACCGTTAGATTTGATTCAAGTGAAATTCAGTGTGCATTAGATGAAAGTGTAATGTGCATTAGGTGAAATTGAAATGTGCATCACAAAGGGTACGATAGAGTGACATTTTGTGCAGTTGAATTGTGCATTACGTGAAATTGAAATGTGCACTAGGTGAAGCTGAAATGTGCAATATAAAAAGTACGATGTGATGTTATTTTTGCACTTTTTTCCCGCACATATCAGTTTAATCTAATGCACACTTGAGTTTAAATTTTTATTTTGCACATTTCAATATCATTTAATGCACATTTCAGTTTCACCAAACGCACAATTTGGTTCCACATAATACAATCCAACGGTCCAGATTCGTTCTCATTTTTCTCCCAAGATCTGTTCTTACCAGAACCGCTCCCTATATATATATATATATATATATATATATATATATATATATATATATATATAGGTAATAGGTAATAGTAATAGTAACATTAACCGTAACAGTAACAGTAACAGTAGCAGTAGCAGTAGTAGCAGTAGCAGTAGCAGTAGCAGTAGCAGTAGCAGTAACATTAACAGTAACAGTAACAGTAATAGTAACAGTAACAGTAGCAGTAGTAGTAGCAGTAACAGTAATAATAATAGTAATAGTAATAGTAATAGTAATAGTAATAGTAATAGTAATAGTACTAATAATAGTAATGATGATGATATACCCTCAATCAAATTATATCAGAATGATTCAGATCAGATCAAACCAAATCATAAAGATTCAGATCAGAAAAACTCAGATCATATCAAATCAGAACTTAGAAAATTCAGATTAGAAACATTCTGATCAAGCGAAGAGAACGGCTTCTAAGGCCTTTTGTTTTGAGTGCA